GTAACAGAATAAGATTCGAATTCCTGACGACTCGTTTAGGCGATTGCGAGCGACTTTTTTTTTTGATAGACAATAACTTTATTTATCGTGCACTGTCGGCTTCACAACTTTGCAGATAGTTTATGTTCACATACAGCTACATGACACACTGCATGAAAGGTAATATTCGAAAAGGCATAATAGGGGCACTTTAAAACAGGTATTTTAAATAGTAAATTTCACGATATTACTGTTTTTACTGTATTTTAAATGCAGTCTCGGTGAGCGTGAGAGACTTCTTTCAAAAACATTTAAAAATCTTGCCGACCCCAGCTTTTGAAAGGTAGTTTAACTACATTAGTATAAGCTAACACAAGCTACCTGCAAATTACAGCTAAAAAATGTCCGCTAACTACACAAATTTGCCATCAACAAAACATCTCCACGCTTCACAGAGAATCTCAATCCTGCTCCATATGACATTCCTGCAGAATTTAGCTCCAACCATAAAACATACCTGCTAATCAAAACGTAATCACTATATCAAGTCTATAACCTTCCAAATGTGAATGATTAGAAACACTCTATAGGCAGCAACACTTTACACAGATACACAGATAGCACTTTTCACATGAAGAGCATAAAATTCTTGCTAACTCTCACATTTGACTCTAATAGAGTTAGCATGTTAATAAGCTAACAACTTACTGTAACAAACACAAAAGTTAGCCTACATAGCACACACAAATAGGCAATGAGGATACTACTGGCTAAAATATAAAGTATTGTTTCATCTTGTTAAATGTTTCTAATCAACATTTCAACTCCGTCTGGAGTGCTGTTCTGGACGCAACCTGCCACTGAGATGAATGGGAATGCTAACAGATAGCTTTCTCCAAGTACAAGAACTAAACTCTGCAGGAAGACAGATGTCCAGCAGGACTGAGCACCCCTAATCTATTCAATTCATTTTCTTACGGAAAACATCACATCCAACAATAGCATAAACACTTATGCTACCTCCAGATTATGAAAGTCAATCAGTTCTGGTTTGTGTCTGTGACTAAGTACACAGAAGGCCAGTCCATCCTTCCAGCTATTGAAGCCACAAAAAAGAAAAAAAAGAAAAAAGTGAATTTCTGCAATGAGATTTGGATCTACTATATTCTAAAAGTAAAGTCTTAAGTTTTTAAAGAAGGTCCTTAGATTCCTGAGGGTGATGAACTGTTGAGTGTGATGAAGATGTTAGACACACATACTGTAAGCACACACCATCTGTGCAATGATATCAACAAAAGGGAACATCATAATGTTGTGGCAGACATGCTATTTTTCTACTGTAATAGGACTGTTAGATCAAATGTCTCAGAGGATCAAAGGTTAATTTGGGGTCACACTTGAGACCTTGTTGAGTTTGGCGTAGTCAATGAGGTCAGGCCTGTGCCTGTGGATGAGAGCGCACAGCGCTAATCCATCCTTCCAGCTTCACCAGAGAGAGAGAATCAGGGTCATGTTGGAATTATCATAAAAACTGAAACTATATACAACTAAAAATAATAGAGTATCTGTTTTAACTGTTATTTTAAAATACAAAACATTGATATTACCTTTCAACATTTTTGCACCCAAAAAGAGCCTCACCTGACATGAAAGTTTTGAATATTGACATTCCTGTAGGGAGCAGTCTTCCTCTGACACCACAGCAGAAGTCCTTCTTTGGCCGAAGTTTCTGAAAGACAATTAGTGAATCATTATATAATTCACACATGACTGAACAATCTAATTGTTATTTGGTATAAAATGATTTAAACATTACTAGGGGTTGTGAAATGTGCCATTAATAATAATAATAATAATATCAGTATATTTTGCTGTTTGTGCAAACATTTTGTGGAATTTTATGTTTGGGACTTGTTTTCTTTACCTTCAACAGAGATATCCTGAATGGCGAAGCGAAGGATGATGGTCCAGATCATTCCAAGAGTCATTTTCACATTCCCATCCACAATTTCTGCAAAAATATGACAGGAAAATCATTGCTCAATAAAAAAAAAGGCTGGGCAAGTTAAAATGACATTAAATACTTTTTTTAAAATATAGGATATATAGGATTTTAAAATGCGCTATGTGACATGCAAAATTAATAACCTGCATCCCCTAATTACTTTATTTATTCAATCTGTTTATTTATAAACAAAAAAAAAATCCAGATTACTCTACAGTTATGCAAAAAAGCATACCTTCAGCTCCAATGGAGACCAGTTTCACTCCTTTACTGGTGATGAAATCAAGGGCTTTGTTGACATTGGCTATCTTGTGAAAACGCATCTTTCCTCTGTCAGGCTTGGGTAACCTCTCACCTGCCAAAATACAACGCAGTATGAAAAATTGAATTGGTATATATAGTTGATATTACATATCGTTGAGGAAGTTCAGCATGTTTACTTTGAACATTCGACACTGTCAAATATCATCCTTATATTGTAATCATTAGGATCACAAGCTGTAATTATCACCATGTTCATTGTGTCTGCTTGACTGAACACATTACTTTGACACACTCATCTCTGACTGATAACAGAATACTTTCTGATTGTAATATTGAAACATACATGCAAGCTTCTTTAAAACAATAATGTACTGTGAAAAGTGCTAAACAAATAAACTTAAAGGAGACATATTACGCCCCTTTTTACAATATGTAATACAAGTCTCTGGTGTCCCCAGAATGTGTCTGTGAAGTTTTAGCTCAAAATACCCCACAGATCATTTATTATATCATTTTGAAAATGCCTATTTTGAGTGGAAGCAGAAACCCGCTGTTTTTCGTGCCTGTCTCTTTAAATGCAAATGACTGCTGCTCCCCGCCCCCTTTTCCAAAATAGAGCTGCGCCATTACAGCTCGTACCTGCTAAAAACATCTGTTTTGGTTCTGATTATCATGTTTATCGCGCTGAAATCGTGCGTTTTAAACCATATCAGTTTAAACTTCTGATATACGGTTTTCTGAGTGCACACAACCGAAGCACACGGACAGAAAGCGGCTGTCACAGCATGTGAGTACTAAACTAAGTTCTCATTCACACAAGTTTACGTTAAAAACACACAAGTTACAAAAA